ATGACCCATCTCACCACATTTAAAACATCTTCTTGATCCCACCAAACATTGACCAAAATGCCGCTTCCCACACTGCTCACATAAAGGTTTTTCATGCTGACTCTGCTTCTATTTATCATTAAAATTTGGCTTCTTGTTTCTAAATCGATTATCCCTTTCAAATATTTTTCTTTGTTCTGGTTGTTGCTGCTCCCAATTATATTTGGAGAAATTCAGTTCATTTTCAATCCTTCTGGCTCTCTCCACTAAGACTATGAAGTCACTGATATCAAAAGGTGTTAATGTTTGTTGTAGTTGATCTCTGAGTCCTCTAAAAAATTTGTGACACTTTTCCTCCTGGGTGCTGGCATAATGAGGTGCATAGCGAGACAAAGAAGTGAACTCAGCTTCATATTGCATAACTGTCTTGCAATCTTGAGTCATATTGAAGAATTTGCCTTGCAGAGCTAATCTGGCTGAAGAAAGAATAAACCAATCTCTGAAGACTTTCACAAAATCATCCAATCTTTATTGCTTCTCCTTCTAACACAAATGTAGTCAATGGTACTTTTCTATTTTCAGAACATATCATTCCATCTAAAATCTTTCCAATATTTAACAACTAATCTTCATCTACGGTTGGATCACTTGCACTCTTAAATGCTGATGGTTTAAAAGTCTGAAATAATTTTTAACGTTGATCCACTTCACTATCATTTTCAGATCTGGATCCACTGCTAGTAGACGATTTTTTCATAGATGTCATTTTATCTACCACTTGTGATATCAAATCCATAATATCTTGAAGTTCTTTTCCCTCATTTATTACTATTTCTGTATCCGACTTAGATGACTGTCCAGTCATTTTTTTTGGCAACTCAGACATAACTATATATATGCATATAGATAATTCATATAATACATGTACTCATGGTAATAAACATGATCATTCAAAACATTAAATAAGCAAGTATGCTATTATACTAAAATTAATGCACAATTCCATTAAAACTTGATTTAACATATAGCTTTGTATACATCATATTCATTATATCTCATCCTTTTTTCTCTTCTAAATCCAATTATGCTTCCACTTTATCTTGATTTGGCTCTGATACCAATTTCTGTCACACCTCAGTTTGGCCTACGCCCTAACAGTCAATCTAGATTATAACAGAGAAGGCAAATCTAAACTGGTTCCTTCTTACTAAAACTCATTCCGAGCCACTACTTTCAGAATAGAGTGAGTAAAAAGAAATCTATTTAGACTCTCCTAACTTGCTAACATATCAAATTGCATAATTAATAATGGGAAGCATATAATGCCCCCTAATGAATATCAAATATAATTGAAGTAAATACAGAGCTTTACTAAAATTTTTAAAATTTACTCACATATCCAAAAGTCTGTACATCTAGCATTCAGATCTTGTTTTACATCTCTTTGTACACCCAAAACATATTTATACCAAAAAAAAACGGTCACCTCTTTTTACTGTCCAAAGGGCTCCTTCCCCTTTCCTGAAGTACAATCACTACTAATGAGTTAGGCTCGATGAAATACACAAGCAATTTATAAGAAATAATAATAAACAATTAAGAAATGCTTAACAATACTAACATAGTTAAAACACATATTGAAATGTCATATTGAGCCTAAAAAGTTCCAAGCAGTATTATTCATCTTACCAAAATTGTTCAACACCTTTAAACAAGTCATTTAATGACTATAAGCTTTTATACATTTTTAGCTTTCCAATTCAAGGTTGGGTCTAACCTCCCAACTTTTAGAATGAAAGTTGTTCTCTCATTTAGGGGGTTGAGTCCAATTTTTCCAACTTTTAAAATTGAGAGCTATGATGCACCGACACAGACACGGCCACACAGACAAATTTTTATTGTAAGAGTAATTTTGAAGTTCTGCTTGTTTTTAAAGTTCGTAAGTTATTTGTATGGAAAGATACTGATCAATATCGAGCATGTACCGAGCAGTATCGAGCATGTACGTAGCGGTACCAATCATGTACTGAGTGGTACTAGGCATGTACCTAGCGGTATCGAGCATGCACCTAGCGATACCTAGTGATACCTAGCAGTACCTAGCATGTACTGAGCGGTACCGAGCATGTACCTAGCGATACCTGGCGTGGATCGGAAAAATAGGACTTCTCGTTAGTGGAAAAGGCTAAATAAAATGAATTGGACGATTTTATTATTTAATATCCGGATACATGTCTGGTTTTAATTTTAATTTTTTTAATTGCGACACTCCAATGCTTTGCAGACACATGTCCATGCCGTGTCGGACGCGTGTCCATGTCCGACACTGCATACCCTCTTTAAGAGGAGTATCAGTGCATTATAGATTGAGAGTGTAAGCTTATCTCGTCGGGTCTTTCACTTTTACTTATGTGTGCTTATTTCCCATATATAACTTATTTCACTTTATATATAGTCATCCTTTTTAGCCCAAATGATATATGCTTCGATGACATAGCTGTGCTTTGGCTGTCCTTTTGCTTCCTTTTAGCTGCTCTTTAATTGCTCTTTAACTGCCATTTTGCTGTACTTTTGCTTTGCTTTTTGCTGTTGCGCTTTAGCTATCCTTTTTGCTACTGCGCTTTAGCTGTCCTTTTATTGTCCTTTTTGCTGTTGTGCTTTAGCTGCCATTTTGTTGTCCTTTTTGCTCATTCATTAGTTTATGAATATTTATCCTTTTATGTTTACAAAATCATTAACATTGAGAAAGATTACTCTCTGCATAAATAATTTCATACATATTCATCCATATTCATACAAAATAAATTAAAATAAACAGAAATACATACGGTCATAAGCATAATAAAAATGAAGTGCAATAATAGAACATTTATTAATTCTTATAACCTCGTTTGAGTATCTCATCTCGTCTTCCAGAACAGTGGGTAAACTGGTCACCTAAAGTATTTCGATTCTTTTTCCTTTTATATACCACTTCAATCAAACTCTTCTTCATTCCATTCAAAATTCTTCCCTCACATATCTTTTCTCATTCTCCCTTTATTTTCTAAATTCTTTTTTTTTTCTCCACAACAACAACTTCACTTCCCCTTACAGCCTACAGCTTGAGCTCCCTGACCTTGCCGCCTCTAGAGAATGTCGGTTAGGAAAAATGAAAACCAATGCAAAGGTTTTAACTTAACTTTTATTATATAATACTAAACTAATACTAATGCTCTGCCACAAATTTCCACTACCACAATTTCCTCCACTCCTAGCCATATGATTACATCCAGCCTTTGCATGTTGTTTTAAGTGGATTTGCTACAGTGATGCATTTAAGTAAATGGTTTATTGGTCTTGCAATAAGTCATGCTAGCTACAATTAATAAAATGTGAAATTGAAATGCCTATAATTGAGATGAAAATAGAAATATATTATTGAGCTCCTAGTTTAAATATGGATATGTTGTCAGTTTGAAGAAAATTCATGCTTACATTTGACTAAACTTTGGATATTATAACAAGAGTAACATATATTAAAGATTGATTATGGGAAAATGGACCTCGTAATTTGGGCATCCACATTATGCCAAAAGATGTTTTAATAAGGCAGGTTGTTAGAATTAATGTGGAACAATGGGGTCATCTTAGGAAAAAAGAATGATAGATAGGAGTGTTAATATTTTACTTGACTTGAAACCTGGCCCGGACCTAACCCAAAAAATTCTTGGTTCGGGTCAACCCGTTGGGCAAACGGGTTGGGTCCGGGATTGGATTTCTCACCTGTTTTTAAAATTCGCTCGGGTTTGGGTTGACCCGAAAACTTGAAATGGACCTGGATGAGTTGGATCCCACCCGCTCGCTCGCTCGCACCGTGTCAATCCCGCATCCTACACCCAAAGGTTGTCTCGCCTAGTCCCTCGCGCTCGACCTCGCGTCCCACAACTGCATCCTGCACCTACGACCTGCCTCGCTTGCTTGCGCTGCTAGCCTTGCACGGCCGCACCCGCTCACCCGTAACTTGCCACCCTCGCGCTCGACCCCACGTCCCGCACCCTCTTCTTGCACCTGTGACTTGCCTCACTCGCACTCGACCCCGTGTCTCGCACCCTCTTCCTGCACTTGCGGCCTTCCTCGCCAGTGCTCAACCCCATGCTCGCTCGCTTGCTCTGCGCTTAAGTCAACGTGTCGGGCCGACCTGGGTTTGGGGCGGGTCAGGTCCGTTCATATTTTTGACCCGTTTTCAGAATCTGGTCGGGTCATATAGTAATGGGTTATTTTCGGGTTGAACCCGAACCCGACCTAGAAACCCGTTTTGATACCCCTAATTATAGATCACATGTAACTTGGTTAGAAGTTGTGTTATGAAGAAAATAAACTTGGTACCTCATGTAGCTTGTAATATTAATTAGTGCTGATGGAGTTGGGATAAGGTTTATTTTGTTGTTGATGAGGATATTTTTTTCCTGTTTTTTTAAAAAAAGAAATTTTGAGCTATTGATTTGACCATAAGGAGCTAGAGGGTAAAGCTTAATGAAATAATATGTATAAAATCTTGTAAATAGATGAAATAGTGTACCTAGTATAGAGCCCCTGTTAATGCATGGTCTGGGGTAGGGGTAATATATTTAACCTTATTATTACATTTGTAGAGGCGTTGTTTCTGTTATTTAAACTTGGGACGTCTAAAATACACTAAAGGAAACTTAACTACTGCTCTGAACTGCCCTCTATATAACCTTGCAAATATGGAGTGCGAAATTCAAACATGTTTTTATTGCAACCAAATATATGGCTAATGATTCTGTGGATTACTTTCAATGAGTTTAATTGATCGGAACATTTACAAAAATAACTAGGACATCCTGGATAAAGCTTATGTATGCTGAAAATGATTGAATATGCTCTCTAATATATTACTAAATTCTAATTTTCATGTTCTACATTTTGTTGACTCTTTTATGGCTATTGGTAATTGCTGTATACCTGTATATGGCTCTTTTGTACTAACCAATGCCCATCTTGAATCTACTTTTCAGTTCTTTATCTTCATATGGAGCATATGTTCGCCCCATGCCTTATTCAAATGAAGTTGGTTTACGGATGCTTATAGGCGGGGCATCACGTGAAGCAGCTGCTTCAGGTTTTCTTGTTTCACCGCTTTTCTCTTACTACTCTTATCATGGTCCTGTATTCAGAGTAATGCTACAAGTTTTCCGTGGAAATCTCAATGACAGCAGGTTGAATTTCTTAGCTATACTTCATCAAATGTGAATTCATTCATGACCAATATTAACTGTTGTGACGTTTCATGGCAGTAACTATGGCTTTATAAGCTACTGCAATCAATGTGGAAATTCTCAGACTCACCGGTGGGCTGAACTTGGGCAGATTAGTTGCCCATGCAGAAATGGAATGGTATATTGATTCATGTAATTAGTTTCTTAACGTGGTGGTGAAATTAAGAGATTCAATATAATAATTCATCTAATCACTCATTAATAATTGTTCCAGAGTCAACAGAGACGATGGAACCCAAGGTTTCACATGACCATGTAGGACACACTAATGGAACAGTTCATTCATTTTCTCTCTAGTAGTGCAACATTATTTTGTCTTAAGCATAGTTGAACGCAACGCAATTTTACCAAAATAAGCCTAAGTTGGTGATATGAGGCGAATAAATGATGGGTATGTAGAGAGACCATAGGTTTGGGGTTTCCAAACTTCTCTACATTTGCACGCCATTGTCGAATGTCGAGACGAAATGCAGCTTTTAGTTGTTGAAACCATACTTAAAATGGACTGCTGGATCTGTTTCTCCAATTTGCATGTGATAAACCTCATTGACTAATTATTTGGTATTGTTAAACCTCATTCATCTTTTTGATAAATTCAATTTGAAACATGCAAGCTTTTATTGCAGCAAAATTGTGCAGCTGTAGCTATAACAAAAATGTTTCCTCCAAGATTTGATTAGTTTTCTCTGCTGTTATACTAGTTTTAACAAGCAAATAGGCAGAAGGTTTGGAAATTATATTTTATTTATCGTACAAGCAATTTTATAGTGCAATTTTGGAATGTATTTTAAAAATGACAATGGTTTATGCTGATTTGTAGGTTTCCCATTCTGTGGTTGTATCAGGCCCTTTATGGACTGGGCCTCTTCATAACACTGCATATGTTTCCAAAATGTTGGAATTAGCTAGGGAGTGGGGTTGGGCATGCAACTCGAAAAAATGCTCTGATGTGGAAAACATCTTGAATCAAATGATTGATGAAAGTGACCCTCAATTGCCTTCTGGATACATTAAACTGGATGAGGTTCTTTGTATAACTTGTTGAATTTTGTCTTTATATTTTCATATTTTTCTAATAATTCATTTCTTGGTATTCAGATAGCTAGTAGGGCAAAAATCAATTCTCCTCCACTTAGTGCAATTCTAAGTGCGTTGCGGAAGGTATATACATTTTTTTCACAAGCATTATTATGCGGTTCTAAATCTTTTTATGAGTTGTTTTTTTATAGAAAACTATTTTAACTTCCATTGGATCTGTCATCTACAAATATAAGAATTACAAGTTAGGAACCAGTATAGTTAAGTGAAATCTCTAATAATCCCAAGGTCACTGATAAATTTTTTTATCTAAAATTTAAAAGCATAATTTCTAGACTTATTTCTAATTTTAAGTTAAGAACCGGTCTTAACTAATTCAACATGGGTTACATGTAAAAAAACTCTCATGCATCTCTTAGATTCCCACCTCCAATTTCAAAAGAAGTTCGATATGGAAGGTTTTGTAGTTGATTGCAAGTGCGTGGGTACAAGGACCAGGAGTTTGATATGTAAATCATCACAGTTTACAAAAGGAGGTTGTCTTTTGTTTCTTATAGACTGTAGACTTGTTTACGAAGTCATATATTCTTGCCTATTTTTTGCATTTTGGTAGGCAAAATCTCGTTGCTTCTTGCAGGTGCATCGTGAGTTTGTGGGGGTATGTTTGAGTTATTATAGTTATTTGCATGTGACTTATATTATTTATTATTGAAGAATGAAGATGCATATGCGCAAGCCCAAAAAAAAAAAGAAAAAAAAAGCCAGATTTATATAGTCGAGATGCAGTGGCTTTGTAATATTTCATCATTTAGGTAATTGAAATGTTTCATCAAACTCGATATGTATAGAAATGAAGGGATATAGACCTATTTGTTTATGTTGTCCGTCATTATTATTATTATTATTGTTTTTGGTTCAACAAATAGATTTGATAACGTTTTTCTATAAAACTGTCTTAATGCATGTTTAATTATTTTTTTAATGGACTTTGGTATTCTTATATCAAATTTATTTTTTCCTATGTATGTAAGGTCTGTATATTGCAAAAATACATGTAGAGTAGTGGTTTGGCTTGATCAAAGTATTGGATAATTTGATTTGAATTTAAATTTTTAAGTAATAATTAAACTTCTAAGAGATTAAAACTTACTAAAATATAAATCATTTTGTTTAATTTGGCAGTTGTTGATATTGATCTCATGAGTGCATGTGACTAATTGTTTGATGATAAAAAAATTTGTGGCATTGTCTTTTGGTTTGTGAAGCGCTCTACGAGTTATATATGCATTAGTTAAATCATGGTGATGATGATCAATTTAACTAGATTTAGAGTCTTTGTAGGGTTGATGATGAGGTAAAGCTGACTAGCTGAGTAAAAACTTGTAAGTCAAAATACTTTAATGAATATAGATATAAAAAAAATGAGTATATGTTTTACTCTTAAGTATCTCAAATATGATGAACACACTAGCAAAAAAATATAAAAAAATTATTAGAAAAAAAAATTAATGGAGCGTTTGATCCCCCGATGGAGTTTTAGGGTTCGCTCTCCTGTTGTCTCTCGTCCTCAGTTCCTCTCGTCAGGTGGCCAGAGGGATCCACCTATAACGTGGCTTTTCCCCTATCTCCACTTTGTCCACCCCTGAAGAGATTAGACCTTTCGCCCATGATGATGTTGTTGATGCTTCACTCGAATGTAAGCACGTCGTAGTGGGTTATTCCCTTGGCAAAAGGCCTTACTATGCCTCTTTACTAGCTGCGGTTAATAGAGTTTGGAAGCTCAAAGATAACCTTAAAATGATCACCTTAAGTGATGGATTTTTTCTTTTCAAGTTTGCTTCTGCGGAAGATTTCGACGCTGTTTGGTCTAGAGAAGCTTGGTTCATTCTCGGCAAGCCTTTCATAGTCCAGAAGTGGTATCCGCTTTTTTGTCCTAAGAGGGAAGAATTTACCACAGTTCCGATCTGGTTGAAGATACATGATCTTCCTCTCTTTTATTGGACTCCGGTCGGCATTTCCAAAATTTCCCCCAAATTTGGTACAACGCTTGTTGTAGATGATCTCACCGCCTCCAAATCCCATCTCACGTACGCACGAGTCTGCGTGCAGGTAGACTATTCAACCACCTACCCGAAATTTGTTCCCATATTGGTTGAGGGTAAATTTTTTAATCTCAAAATACAGTACGAGTAGAGACCTTCCCTTGTAACAACTATTCTTCCCTTATGCACTCATCTAATGAATGCCCTTCAAATCCTATTTCTAATTTTGAATGCCCTCTCAAAAAGGGCAAATTATTAGGTTCGGTCACCGGACGTAGAGATACGCCCGGTTACTAATAAAATATTATTTTAAATTAAGCGCGTCAAAAGCGCAGGTAAAGTGGAGTCAAAAAAGTGTTATCAAAACGCAGTTAAAAAGCGCAGGCGATGTGACAAATTTTAATTGGATGTCCGGACCAATTTTTTGGTCTGATGACCGGACCTAATAATTTGCCCTCAATAAGACACGTGGTTGTAGTATGAGTCGGAGACCAAGATTCAGACCACCCTCCTCTGTTAAAGCTGGTATTCTTCCTACTCATATAGCTAATGCCTCTTTGATTCCCTCTAATCAAATCATCACTGAACAGCAACATGTTTCCCAAAATCCTAATCCTAATCCCATTCCTCCTCCTAATAATTCATCAATCCACAATCTAAAATCCCCCACTGAAGCTCTCTCTTCAACAAAATCCCCCCTTCCTCAATCACAGCACTCAAAATCCAATTCCCCTATTATTCTAGCTTCCAACAAATACACTATTTTGCAAGTTGAACCGGAAACTGAAGAGACATCTTCACAGGCGAGATAAAATAATGAAGACCCTACTTTGGTAACTTCTCCCAAACCTTCAAGACTCGCCCAAAGTGTATCAATCTTCTCTCAAGAATAAAGCTTCCAAGCCACCAAAGCTACCTAACGACACTGGACATCAAGTGCATAAAAGTACTAGGGGGAAGGGGATGAAATAGGTCCCCCACCCGACTCAAAAAACTTAATATTTTTTCCCCCTATTGGTGTCTGGAATATAAGGGGTTTCAACAACCCTGATAAGGTTTTTAGTTGTAAGAAGTTGGTTGGTGATCACAACTTGGATATAGTCTGTATCTTGGAGAACCGTATTCTTCCCCACAAACTTCTAGACCCTTGGTTTTTATTAACCCACAAATTTTTTGTCAAAGAACATAGTTGTAACAACTTTCACCTTGCTACCCCAGGTCGTATCTGGGTTAAATGGAATTCAGAAAAGGTCAACTTTGTCCCAAATTTTTTCTCTAACCAAACAATCTCTAGTATGCTCTCTGTTCACTCTTAACCACCAATCCTCCTCTCTATTATCTATGCCTCGAATTCTTTTGATGAAAGATCTAGATTATGGTATGATCTCAGAAACCTAAACCCTCTTAATTCTCTGCCTTGTATTGTCATTGGGGATTTCAACTGTTGTCGGAGCTCTACTGAAAAAGCGGGAGGGAATGTTGTTCCTCAAGCTAGGTTTGGTCCTTTCAACTCTCTCATGTTTTATACTGAACTGGTAGAGCTCACTTCTTCATGATCCTTTTTCACATGGTTTAGCCAAAGGGTGGATAATCCTATCCACCTTAAACTTGATCGTGCTCTTGTTAATGAGAAATGACTCTCATCTTTCCCCAAGTCTTTTTATAAAGTGCTCAATTCTTCTATTTCTGATTGTACACCTCTCATCCTTACTTCTGGAGACATGAAAAGAAGATCTCATAGATTTATGTTCAAGAATTTTTGGACCCGTTACATTGAATTCTGGGATTTGGTTATTTCTATGTTTGACATGCCAATTGTTGGGAATCCCATTGTCAGCATTTACAACAAGCTTAAGAGGCTCAAGGTTTTAATCAAGGATAAGCATTAGAATTCTGCTTATTCCATTGCTTCTGTGTTAGACAATCTATCCAAAGAGTAATATGATTGTCAGATGCTTATTGATAACGATCCTCTCAACTCTAATCTATGTGATAAACTCAAACAGGTTAATGCAAATTTGGCGTATTACAACTTTATATGGTCATCTTGGACCGTCCAACGTGCTAAGGTAAAATGGCTTACTAACAGAGAAGAAGATCTAAGGTTTCTTTACTCTAGAATTTGTAGAAGGAATGTAGGTAATAAGAGTGCTTTCTTAGTTGCTTTCCTTGGCTAATTTGTTGATCAGAATTCTATAATGCCATAAATTATTTCTCATTTTAAGGAGCTATTGAATGTCGATACCCTTGTTAATTCAGATTCTAGCCTTATTCTTGAAGGTAATACTATTCCGGAACAATTGGCTAACTCTCTCCTTCTTCACATGACTTTTGAGGAGGAAAAAATGCTGCTTTTTTCGGTCATTCTAATTCTGCACCTGGCCTAGATGGTTTGAATTTTGAGTTCTACAAAAATATTGTCATATCATTGGGATGGAGGTGTTTTATGTTGTCAAATCCTTCTTTCAAAAATATTCTTGCCCAAAAGCGTCAAGGCTATTGCTCTTGCTCTTGTCCCTAAGAATTCTCATGCAGACAATATATCTGACTTTAGGCCTATTACTCTTTGCAATGTGTTCTATAAGATTATTGATAAAGTTCTAGCAGTTAGAATGAAAATTATCATGCCTTTGATAATCCATAAGAGTCAAGCTGCATTCCGCTCCAAACGATTTTCGACGGACAACCCTTTACTATCCATTGAAATTCTTAACATATTTAAAAAATCAAACAAAAGAAAATTATTTAGTGCCAAGTTTGATATCAAGAGAGCGTTTGATATAATATCTCGTGAATTTTTGTTCTCTCGATTAATTCAAAAGGATTTTCCTCTTACTTTTGTTTACTTGATCAAAGACTGCATTACTAATGTAAACTTTTCGCTTTGTGTGGATGGAGCTCTAGAAGTTTATTTCCCTTCTACTATTGGACTCAGGTAGGGTTGTCCTCTTAGTCCTTACCTATTTTGTATTATTATGGATGGTCTTTCTTGCCTCCTTGATAACATGGATAGAGTGATTTTGAAGGCTTCTCTTTGAATGGGTTTTGCTTGTCTCACCTCCTATATGCTGACGACCTCTTAGTCTTTAGCAAAGCTTCGGTTACCAACTACAATCATCTCATGGGCATTATGAACTTCTTCTCATCATGTTCTGGACTCCATCTTAATATGCAAAAGAGTAACCTTATAATCTCCCTTTACACGCCTAAACTTGCAAATATTGCTGCCTCTTTAAATATCACTAGTAGCACCACCAAATTCAAATATTTTGGCATACCTAGTACTATGGAAATATTTAAAATCTCTGACTTCTCCTGTCTTTTGGAGAATATCACTAACCTTCTTACTGGCTGGAAAGAGAGGTTACTTTCTTTTGCAGGTAGGCTTCAATTCATTAAATAGTCTATTATCAACATGGTGGTATATTGGATCAGAGCTTCTTCCATTCCTAAAATCATACTTGAGGATATTGGAAAGTTATGTGCTAAATTCCTTTACTTTGGTCGCTCTTCTGAAAATAAATTGCATTTTATTTCCCGATTTAACACTTGCAAACCAACTCACAATGGTGGGCTGGGAATCATTTCACTTCAGGCTATTCAGTTTG